TTACTAAATGTACTTTCGTTTTCTAAATTATAATAATTCGTTTTCTGAACGAGGATATCTTCAGGTATTTAAAAAAAAAGTTGCATACTTGAAATGTATAGCATCTAGGCGAAGGAGCTTTCTCTGCGTTAAAAAATATTTCAAAGACGTAACCTATCTAGATAAACTTGGAAAGTGAAACTTTATCTAAATACAAAATTTTATTCAAATCGTTTGAACGGTTCCCGAGAAATAAATTACACATAATTTATAATACACTTACGTAAGTACATACTATACAAGAATTCGTTTATATAATATGCGATTTTAATATTAAAAATTCATATGATCCGAGTCTTTATCCTTACATTAGAGAAGTAGCTATCATTTTAACCATATCAAAGATTTGCGATGCATATCTTTTATACATTAAATATTAGATTATATAATTATTATGACAGTTAATAATGAGATAGATACATTCGATCCTATATAAACATTAGTTAGTAGAGTTTGTGAAAATGTCACGAACTGGCGGTAAATGGCGTCAAAACGAATGTAAAAGGTATAAATAAGTATGTAGTGAATAACGCCTAAGTTACTAATCTGGTAAGTAATACAGGAAGTCAATGGATGCAAGACTGCGCTTTGTGGCCTTTCCTTTCCTCGGGGAGGCCTATATTCTTTTTTTTTATAGGATTGGGTGACAAACGAGCACACAGTCCACCTGATGGTAAGTGGTTACTGTGGCCCATAGACATCTACATCTATTCTCAATAAAGACTAAAGATGCAGATGCGTTGTAAATAATATCCAAAGCACTCAAAAAAATATCCAAACCACTTACGAAAATAATATATTAACTTCCTACTTACTGATTGGCAATCTGCCCAAAAATCGAAGCGATTACAGCAAGTAACACCACAGAATAAATAATAGTACTACGTAGTAATACTTACAGCTTGCCAGGTTATGTTTAAATTAGTTTAGACAAATTAGTACCTTATCATACTTTATTATAATGATTATATTGTATCTAACTTTAAAACCTTATTAAACTAACGCGATAAAAGTACTGTTTACACAATTACGTAAATATAGCAGCTACCTCTTGTACATTATTTATGTTAAGGGTGCGGGCGAATCAAGCCGACTGAGCTCTTCGCGAAGTTACACGAGTGTGTATTCACGTTTTTCGGACTGCGATTGACTTTGATGAGCACTTCATTGAGGTAACTTCTCGAGTAGTGTAGAAGAGGCATGAAGAAGTTGAGCAAGCGCTACTATAAACAGAAATGTACGCAGCGCCACATCCACCTTTTATGTTGGTGTGAGTTAATATTAAATAAAACTCCTTATTAACTAAATATTTCTGAATCTACAGGCGGTCCATCGACGTGCAATACAATCCTAACTTACAAAGGCTATTGTTCTGTTATTAATATTCCGTAGTTCTGTTGTCATCTGTGGAACTACAATAATTATAAGCCAAGTCTAAGGTTATTTGAATAATAAATACGGCACATTTTACAGTGCTTGATTAAGATCTATCCCTAAAAGTCTTAATTTTACATTTTTGATAATAATACTTTTTATAATAATTTAATTTTTTTTATAATTTTTATTATTTATATTATTAGCGTTAGTAATACGTTTTCAACTACTGCCTTGAAAATCATTTTAATAATTTTTATAAAGTTTTCACTAATATATTATGGTATAGGGTCAATTGAACTTTATTCTTAGTATTTTTAATTTATTACAATTTAAAAAATGTAAATTCACGAAATAAATAAACAAATATGACGTAAATGTAATTACGTAATTAATTACATATCTGTTACTACCGAGTGGTGACGCCTTAAAAGTGTCATCACCATAAGTCCGTGGGTATCGTGAGAAGCAATGATGACAAAGTGGAGAAATGACGGTGTAGCCACAGTTCCGTGGTGACATATGTTAGTAGGTGGCACGTCTCGTTTAAGCCAGAACGAAATGACGAATAGCCAGACCGGTGTAACGGAAAGCAGTAGCAGAGTAAGACTGCTATAGTTTGGGGTGCCAGATCCCGTTCCATATTTTAAAGGATTTCATAAGATTAAATGACATAGGATGAAAATAAAGGATATTTTTATGATATTGTTTTCAATAAATGCTATTATGGTAACTGTAGCAACATTTGTTAATATAAAAGCAATGCTAACACGCAATGTAACGTAGTTTGTCTCTCTAACATCACATCTAAAAAGTTTTTTAAAATTCTTTGCCCTCAACTAGCTCAAGGAATACCGAATACGCGCGATATTGCCTTGTCCTCCATGAAAGATTTCAAATTAGGGGACAAGATCAATTTTTGGGTGTGAACTGCCGAACTACACTTACTCGCATCCCTTTCGTGTGCATCGTGGGGTCGCCGAACTTGCGTTGAGAACTCGCATTGTCATAACAAAACAAAATCCTTCGGAACCTGGGACCCGATTATATTCGCAACTTTTTTTTTTATAGGATAAGGGTGAAAAACGAGCACACAGTCCACCTGATGGCAAGTGGTTGCTGCGGCCCATAGACTTCTACATCTATCCTCGTTTGCGAATCAAAATGCAGATGCGTTGTCACCCGTGAGGACTAAGATGGAATGCCTCATTCCCAGTAAAAAGGGCCTCCGGCCACCTGCACTCACCAAGCGAAACGCAGAGGTAAACCTCTACTTCACGCTGGTATTCTGTGAGGTCGTGGTACCACCCCGGTTCGAGCCGGCCCATCCGTGCGACAGCAAAAGCTGCCGCGTGACTCTACCACTGTTAAAAGCTATTATTCCAGAAATATAGCCTTAATTTTTTTAATATTATTAGCAATCATATTAATAATATATTGCTGTTAACCACCAGCGTCAACTAAGCTTAAAGTGCTTGTGTTTACTATATTCCATTACAGCCTGTAAATGCTCACTGCTGAGCATAGATTATATTGCCTTATAGGCGTACTACTATATCATTATAAATTAATCTGTGAACATAACAACAAGAAATAATCAACCATTTTAAATTAGCATGATTCGTAAGAAATTGTTTAAATTAGGACCGTAAAATAAGCCATTGAATTAACATGTAACCATGTAACCAACTATTCCAAAGTTTTCTGAACTAGAGGACGTCCTTTAAAATAATGAAGTCTGAGAAACTTAAGTTTAGCGTCAACCTTGAAGCATAGAATTCGAATATCGAAATATACGAAGAATTTAATTTATTCTTGGCATGTTATGAGCTCTTTAGTGTTTGAATGCGTTCTTCACTGAAAATTGGAAATATAAATTTTGCCTGTCATAAAGTAATTTCAACTTTGAAAAAAGTGGCAGACTATTAAAAATACAAAATGGAAGACTAAAATATGACAGATAAATAAGGGGATCTGGCCTTAATTCAGTTGATTTTAAGAATACCAACGTCTCTGTAAGGACTAAATTTCCCGGTCGAAAGCGACAAGACCAATAAAGCGTAACTTCCTTGGTAGTGCTATGTATAATAATATAAATATATAAAATGCATATTGAAATAACAAAAGAGTCTATGGTTATAATAATCATGACAGAAAATCAAAACCCGAAGAAGCAAATAAATCACTGACTTTGAAAAAGGAAAAGATGCCTCAAATGTAAAATTTTTTTGAATTTAGAATTCCAAATATTAATACCATATCTATTACAATTCAAACTGGCTAGTTCAAGTAAACCACAATTTCATAGGTAAAGAACGTGTCAGATGAAATTTCATATTAAGTTAGAAATTTTTGAAGTTTGGTTGTAATTTTATGGAAAATATTATTTAACAAAAGTATAAGAATTGTTAAGGAAATGCATATTTAATGTTTAAATTATATTTAGTATTTTGTTTTTATGGTTAAATAAAACGTATACATATATTGGACGAAAATATTAAAAAAAATTGAACATCAGTGCAGTAGTTGCAATTTCAGAAACTGAATTTGTTGCAACATTGTGTGATATATCATGTGACATAAAAACAGATTTCACAAAATAATTTTTTCATAAAGATTTAAAGTATAACATAGTTTACAATTAAATATATCGATATAACAGACTATCGAACACATCTAAAAGTAAACGATAGTAAATAAATATTCGTTACTCAACAAGATAAGATTCGTAACATAGCTCTACCTTTAAACGAATACAAAAACACCTGATAGTAACAAATTACTGTTCAGCTGCTGCAATATCAATGAGGTGAGGTGAACATATTTGTCACGCAGATGGTCACACAGTGTATGTACATTCACAAAATAATGCCTAAGTGCTGTCTTCTTAAATTTTTTACACATTTTTACCTTATTTAATTCCACTACGTTTACGAATAATCGTAGTTTGGTTTATCCATTTCTAATCAAATTAAAATAAAGTAATAGTTATATTTAAGAAAGGAACATTAATATCTCTACACTTGAATAAATCTACTTTTACGTTTTCTAGCGCGTTTAATTACATAACTTGCTTTTAATTGATTCCCGACGTTTCAGGTGCTTTAATACGTCGGGAATCCGTGAAAGTAGTTTTATTCAATGTGTAGTGTATAAGAAATCATTATCTCTATGTACACTTAAACAAATTAACTTCCCCGCTATGAAACCTGTCAAATATTTTACCTCATACCAAAGTGGTGCCGCCCTGGTGCCAGAGAAAGTCATGGATATCATTAGACAAACATATACAACAATAATTTCTATGTAGAATCATTTTTTCTGAGTAAATTTTTATTATTTAGATTTCAATAATTCATGCAGATATAAACGTACAGTTAAGTTTATATTATTTATTGTTTATGAGAAAGTAGACATCGAATAACACTGGATAGAGAAAATTTAGATACGATATTTCAAAATAACTTTTAACTGTTGATGATTGAAGTTTTCACTTACGCCAACTCTTCTGTGCTGTAAGTATCGGGAGCTGCATAGTACATAGAAGAGAAGAGAAGAGAATACAGGAAGAACACGTGGGCAGTGGCTTACTTCTGGTTGTTGTCATCACCACTCACTAGTTGTAGTGGGTCCGGTCCTGTGGATTTATATAACGTTAAATGCTATTTACTACGATGATGGTTGAATTTTGAGTCTAAGGAGGCTTGTAGGGTAAATAGTAAGCGCTATTGAACAATATTGCCGACAATCATCGGTACATTTATTCTCTTAAATGATTTATATATACGATGTTTGACTGCCTCGTTGCTTAAATGGTCTTAAAAGTGGTTGCTAATCATGAGCTCTGCAATACCGCTGCTGGGTTCGAATACCGGTCTGACCAAAATCAGTTATGGCTTTTATCTGTCAGGAAAATCTCAGTAACAGCCCGGAGTCAGTAAGCTGGTGGTGTTTTAAAGCCGTCGGTCTTGCGTCTGGTCTCTCTCCGGTCGTGTGAGATTACCGTCTCATCGGACTATGAAAGAGAGAATAGAAGGTCCACGTTGTAGAGCCACTCAGCTCTATTATGGTTGTAGCACGAATGGGTCGGCTCGACCTGCGTAAAATCACGCTCTCACAGAATACAAACGTAAAATAGCAGTTTAATTCTGCTTCTTCTGCGTTCCGTATGGTGAGTGTAGAGAACTGGAGACACTTTTTATTGAAAACGAAGCATTCAACCCTAGTCTTTAACGGTGAATACGTATCTGCATTTTGATTTTTAATCTATACATATAATAAAACTGTAAATAGCAGATGTCTGTACATTTTATATTTTTGTAATAAAAGTGATTGAGGGGTACTAAAAATAAGTAATTAAATACATTTCTACCATTTTTAGAATTTTCTGTCTGTCTGTCTGTCTGTTTGTTTGTTAACGTATCACCATTAAAGTACTAATTTATATCATAACAATTGTTAAGGAAGTTCTAAAGTGTACCTTCGGGTTACATTTAGTCTTTATTTCATTAAAATCGGTTCATTCCATCAAAAGTTATGATAAATATTCTGAAGTATGGGTAGGGAATTTGCTCAACGGTGGCTTTGTTTGAGTCATCAAGTTGATCTTAGCAGCGCCATCTCTCTTTAATTAAATATATACATAAAATAAAAATGATGATAACATGTTGTGTCTCTTTCTGTACATTGTATATATATTTTGGTGACTAAAATCATTATGGGGAACTAAAAATAATTAAATAAGTACATTTTTATAATTTTTAGAATTGCCTGCCTGTCTGTTTGTCTGTTTTTATATGAATGCATCACGTCTAAAGTAAACATCTTTTTTTTTTCAAAGAAATCGTTAAGAAAATCATAAAGCGTATCTTCAAGTTACATTTAATCTTTGTTTTATTAAAATTGGTTAATTCTATCGAAAGTAATGATTATTATTTTAAAATGTAGGTTCGAATTTGTTCAATGGCGCCATAAAAATCTCAGAAATAGTAATAAAACGATTTGTGTGTAAAAAAAACGTTCCATAATAATTAATATATTTATACTTAAAACATAAAAAGAGATTTAAAAAAGGATGTTTTCTCACACAAAGGACGTAATAGATGGAGTTGTACAAATTACAAACTTTTCTGATTTGCTGTGTTGAGATTTTTCGCCGATGAATCGTATTGAGACTTACTGAAGAAATTTGTATCTATCGAAGCCATACAACGGAACCCGAACAAAAATAACAAAATTGCAACGAAATGTCGTGATATTTTATTTATAATATACGCAAAATCAGTACTGCTATTTTAGCGCTTTGGGAACTAGATTTAGCGCTTTTTTGGAATGTATAGCGCGCATTTCGAAATTTTAGCACCTAGCACTTAATCCAGCGCTTTTTGGTGTATTTAGCACACATTTCAAAATTGTAGCGACTAGCGGGTTATTAACTCTTTTATAGCAGCACTGTTAGTCCACATTACCGATAATAATAATAATGACCTTTATTATTTTTTTTTCACAAATAGTACATTGCAGTTTATATCTTTTTCAAACATATTTTTTCCACAAAACAAAGAGCATGGGAGACGAGTCCAAACTAGGATACACTGTGCTATGGATCTCTTCTTCTTCTGCTGGCTTCCCCTTTAGGATGATCAACTTGGTTTTTTTTATCAACGACTATAAGCGGGGAAATCCCCTTCATTAAAGTTTTCGTTCATGGTTTTGGCAACGCATTTATTTTGCTTTATTCGGTTTTAGTCAGTTGTTTAAAGCACAGCTAAGTTAAAAGTTACTTAGAGTAGTACTAACTACTGTTGACAGCAATTGCCATAATTATAAGTCGATGTCCTGCGAAGTATTGATACATCAAAAAATATTGCCAGAAAAAAACTTAATGTTGTTTTCTTTATTATGATTATTATGATTTGATAGTATTTTCTTGAATTATAAATTATATTATTAAATTATTATAAAAACACAAACTTTGTTTGTAGTTAATTTAGCGCGAAATCTAGGGCTTTTTTAAAGCGCTGTTTTCATGAAATCTAGCGCTTTTTGTGTTGTCCTAGCGCTGAATGAGTTTTTTTGATCTGGCAGCACTGCCAAAAAACCCTCTATTAAGAAGTAACTTTCCTCTCAGTTTTAAGCGCGTTCAGTTCCCAGTTACAGTCAGCGTGTGTTATGCGATGACCGTAAATAAAGCGCAAGGTCAAAATTTACGCGTTGTAAGAGTGGACCTCAGTACTGACTGTTTTGCACATGGCCAACTCTATGTTGCTTTTTCCCGCGTTAGTAGCCCCCGTAACCTTTTTGTGTACACCCCGTCTAAGTCTACTTCTAACGTCGTGTACACCGAAGCTCTATCATAAACTACTTAGAACTTTGATGATAATGATTTATTTGTTACCACTTATTGATACAGTAATGATATAAATCGTTTAATATTCTCTTACCTAAAAGACAAATTCTTTATGTAAAATCTATATACGCGAGCTACGCCGCGGGCACAGCTAGTTAAGAATAAATCTAGATGTCTGTGGGCTACATCCACTTACCATCAGGTGCACTGTGTACTCGTTTTTGCACTCTCATTCAATAAACAAAAACAGTGCTCGTGCACACACTCGTGAACCATAATCCTGTGCTGAGCAGATGGCTAGTCTCTGTTGAGAATGACCGCCGTGACCGGAATTCGTTCTGGAAGGCATTATTATTATTAGCAGCTGGCATGTTCAAGGAGCTAGTGTGTTGTGTCATTGTTTAACCTACAGGCATAATGGTGTAACACTTATTTAATGAGGTTTGCTTACATTTAAAAAAATATTATTTTTGTACGATGTTCTCGAACTTAATTAATTTGTTTTCTAATTAATCAAATATAATACAATACACGTATGTTTTTTTATAGGATAAGGGTGACAAACGAACACACAGTCCACCTGATGGTAAGTGGTTGCTGAGGCCCATAGACATCTACATCTGTTTTCGTTTGCGAATTAAAATACGGATGCCGTGAGGTCTACGATAGAATGCCTCTTTTCCAATAAAAAGGGTCTCCGCACTCTCTACACTCACTATACGAAACACAACAGCATTAAGCTGTTATTTTACGCTGGTATTCTGTGAGAACGTGGTCCTTCCCCGGTTGAGGCGACCCATTCGTGCTACAACTATACTACTAATAACTGCAGCATGACTCTACCACGTAAAAAATGTAATACAAACCAGAAATTACTAGATGGTAGGTTTCCTTATCTATCTAGAAGTCAGGCTGTGTAGGTACCATCTTCCTTCCTAATTGTGCCATCTAACAGCAAACCTATATCTCCACAGTTAGCTGCGCGTGTCCATGTTAAAAGACAAAGTTATAGCTTATATAAGTCCACTACCGAGCACGTGGTAAGTCAGCACTTAAAATTGCAATTCACAATTTCATTAGTGCCGGCGGGGATGATACCTGGGTCGCTCGCGTACTGTGAAATTAGAACCGGCAACGCATCTGCAATTGCCGTGGTGTTGCATTTGTTTATGGGCGCTGGTAGTCACTTACCATCAGGTGAGCCGCAAGCTCCTTTGCCTCCTCTCCTATAAAAAAAATATAACAAACACGTAGGCCCTGACTTACCACAGTTCCACCTACTATGGACGGCAGCTGTCCATGGATTCCAGTAAATATTTGCCGTCAGGTGGACCCTCAAGTTTGTCTGTCACTTTAGTTTTACGAAAAAAGTTTTCTTTATTATTTAAATACTAGCTGTGCCCGCGGCGTAGCTCGCGTATACAGGTTTTACATAAAGAATTTTGTCGTTCAGGTAAGAGAATATAAAACGATTTATTTCATTACTGTATCAATAAGTGGTAGCTAAATAAATCATTATCATTAAAGTTCTAAGTCGTTTATGATAGAGCTTCTGTGTAAACGACGTTAGAAGTAGGCTTAGCCGGGGTGTACACAAAAAGGTTACGGGGGCTACTAACGCTGGAAAAAGCAACATAGAGTTGGCCATGTGCAAAACAGTCAGTACTGAGGTACACTCCTACAACGCGTAAAGTTTGACCTTGCGTTTTATTTACGGTCATCGCATAACACACGCTCACTGTAACTGGGAACTGAACGCGCTTAAAACTGAAAGGAAAGTTACTTCTTAATAGAGGGTTTTTGGGCAGTGCTGCCAGATAAAAAAAAACTCATTCAGCTCTAGGACAACACAAAAAGCGCTAGATTTCATGAAAACAGCGCTTTAAAAAGCCCTAGATTTCGCGCTAAATTAACTACAAACAAAGTTTGTGTTTTTTTTATATAATCATAATAAAGAAAACAACATTAAGTTTTTTTTCTGGCAATATTTTTTTGATGTATCAATACTTCGCAGGACATCGACTTATATTTATGGCAATTGCTGTCAACAGTAGTTAGTACTGTACGAACAATAAAAATGTCATTAATTGTTTTAAAGTGCAATGTATTTCGCAACTTAGTTTCAGATGTCAGCATCTGATTGCGGTTGCTACACAGTTTCTTTGTGTTATAACTTCTAAGTAACTTTTAACTTAGCTGTGCTCTAAGCAACTGACCGAAACTGAATAAAGCAAAATAAATGCGTTGCCAAAACCATGAACGAAAACTTTAATAAAGGGGATTTCCCCGCTTATAGTCGTCGGTAAAAAAATCAAGTTGATCATCCTAAAGGGGAAGCCAGGAGATCCATAGCACAGGGTATCCTAGTTTTGACTCGTCTCCCACGCTCTTTGTTTTGTGGAAAAAATATGTTTGAAAAAGATAAACTGCAATGTAATATTTGTGGGAAAAATAATAAAGGTCATTATTATTATTATTATCAGTAATGTGGACTAACAGAGCTGCTATAAAAGAGTTAGATAGACCGCTAGTCGCTACAATTTTGAAATGTGTGCTAAATACACCAAAAAGCGCTGGATTAAGCGCTAGGTGCTAAAATTTCGAAATGCGAGCTATACATTCCAAAAAAGCGCTAAATCTAGTTCCCAAAGCGCTAAAATAACAGTACTGGTTTTGCGTATATTATAAATACAATATCACGACATTTCGTTGCAAAATTTTTATTTTTGGTCGGGTTCCGTTGTATGGCTTCGATGGATACAAATTTCTTCAGTAAGTCTCAATACGATTCATCGGCGAAAAATCTCAACACAGCAATTCAGAAAAGTTTGTAATTTGTACAACTCCATCCATTACGTCCTTTGTGTGAGAAAACATCCTTTTTAAATCTCTTTTTGTGTTTTAAGTATAAATATATTATTATTATGATTATATTAATTATTATGGAATGATTTTTTTACACACAAATCTTTTTATTACTATTTCTGGGATTTTATGGCGCCATTGAACAAATCCGAACCCACATTTCAAAATAATAATCATTACAAACCAATTTTAATAAAACAAAGATTAAATGTAACTCGAAGATACGCTTTATGATTTTCTTAACGATTTCTTTGAAAATAAAAGATGTTTACTTTAGACGTGATGCGTTCATATAATAACAGACAAATAGACAGACAGACAATTCTAAAAATTATAAAATGTTCTTATTTAATTATTTTCAGTTCCCCGTAATGATTTTAGTCACCAAAATATATATACAATGTACAGAAAGAGACACAACATGTTATCATCATTTTTATTATATGTATATATTTAAAGAGAGATGGCGCTGCTAACATCAATTCTAAAAATAAAAGAGATTAATTGACGCGATTGATACATCATATAAAACGCAAGAGAACTTATAAATCAGTGCCTGCACAGTAAGCAAAATATAAAGTTTGACTCTCGCCAAAACCAACGCAATTGTTAATAGCTCTTTTAAAATTTGATTTACCACATAGAGTACTCGGCGGTAAAGAATAAATTGAGTTTGTCAACACGCAGTAGGGCAGCGAGTAATATAATAAAGATTAGCAGTAAATATGAAAAGTCATCTACAGGAAAAAACCACATTGCAATTGCATTACATTTTCACAACACCACCATCTATCGAAGAAATGGGTTAACTATTGTGCTTCAGATTTAGTTAATAAGGTTAATATATTTTTGTATAATATATTTAATACGTTCTTTAATACTTTTGTTTACTGCGTTTTAGATATACATAATTATATCAATATTTTACATATTTTAACTATGATTTATGATATGATATTAGTTTAAAATGCACTTGATGACTCAAACAAAGCCACCGTTGAGGAAATTCGTACCTATACTTCCCTACCCATACTTCAGAATATTTATCATAACTTTTGATGGAATGAACTGATTTTAATGAAATAAAGACTAAATGTAACCCGAAGATACACTTTATAATTTCCTTAACAATTCTTTTGATATAAATTAATACTTTATACGTGATACGTTAACAAACAAACAGACAGACAGACAGACAGACAGAAAATTCTAAAAATGGTAGAAATATATTTAATTACTTATTTTTAGTACCCCTCAATCACTTTTATTACAAAAATATAAAATGTACAGACATCTGCTATTTACAGTTTTATTATATGTATAGACTAGCAATGCAATTAACATCACTAACATGCCCTGTGCTGTACTCCTAGTTACCTTAAGATGCTTGTATTAGGAGTGGTTCACGACAGTAGTTGGATGCCAGATTCGAACTCACGACCTTTAAAGTTCGCGATCCGCACCCCGCTGTTAGGAAACTGGCGCTTCCCAAGATTGAATAAGGCGCATCGTTAAAGCCATAGATATACAAAATGGTACAGAAAATATGAAAATACTTCACCTTCTTGATGATTGCGCGACCATTTCTGCGGCATTGGAACCGGAGAATTGGAGCACGTCTTACGCTTCGCGTGGTTGACGTGTTTGGCTATCATCGAATGTTCTGTAGAAGATACAAATTGATTTGTTATAGAAAAAAGGTGGTAAACGAGCACACAGTCCACCTGATGTTAAGTGAATGCTGTGGCCCATAGTTATCTTCATCTATCCTCGATTAAGAAACAAAATGCAGATGTGTTTTCACCCCTGAGGGTTGAGGTGGACTGCCTCGTTTCCAGTAAAAATGGTCTCCGGACGAAACATAGTAGCATTAAGCTGCTATTTATCACTGGTATTTTGTGGAAGCGTGTTCATTCCCCGGTCGAGACGCCGTCGTCTTACAATCATATAATAGCTGCAGCATTCAAATATTATTAATTGATTACACTTTCCATTATTGTTTCTTGGTGAATCTCAATTAGATCATTAATTACAGAAGTGATACTTGTACTAGTTTCCATTGTGGTTCTTTATATTAATATTTGTTCACGGCCGCGCGTTACTTAGTTTCAATTTTTTTTCGAAAAATATATAAAAAAAGCGTGAGTGTCTTGGACATTGAGATATATGTACTACGTACTAGAGAAGCCATTCCAAACAAAAATTGTGTCCTACTCTATGTCTTCGCGCATGCGCGGGAGTAGTAGTCGCGCATGTGCGAAGACTTTAATTTGATATAAAATAAGATATTAATATAAAATAAATATAAGAATTAAAATAAAATATCTTAATTTAATCTAAACAAACATATTTCTAAATAAAATGTAATAAATATTATTTTATGGAATTCACAAATCTTCAATTTACGCAATATTTAGTTTGTATGGATTGCACTACAGTTCAGTTGTACATAGTCCGGAAGGGCTTCTCTAGTACGTAGTACATATAACTCAATGGTCTTGGAACACTCGGTTGGAACGAAGTTCCTTGCGTAGTATATTATTATTGATAAACGTAGGTATTATATTATTGATTGACAAATACAAATAAATGACTTACTAGCGTCTATTAAAATGGAGCGTCATTTGAAATAAAATAATATTTCTTTCATGGCAAGATAAGAAAATGTGCGAGGGAGATGGATATTATTCCATCTCACTTCCTTATTTCGCCGCCAAGGCCATCTACACTATGACACAAGGAGTATGGACGAAAACATTGGCCGCTTGATGACTTTTCGCAAAGCGGGAATACCAAATCCCACAAAAATCTAAAGGGAGGATACTTATAATTAGAACTTACTTAAAATTGGATGTCCATTTCCGACAGATGAAATCCCAGTAAATGGCTTCATGGTAAAAATGAACCGCTACCCCGAATTACCGAAGGTAAAATGTTCACTTAAGACTTCAAGTACCTGTCGGCAATAATCTGAAAATAAAATAAATGGGTTATTTCTGCTTTATTTACCAATAAATTTTTAGCTACGGGAAATTGTACTTATTCCTTATAATAAATGATAGTTTAGTTACAATAATATTAGGATACGTTATGCCTGTAATCCCCAAGGTGTACTTCAAAATGCAGTCAGCTAGCCTGACCACAGTCAACCAAAAAAAAAAAATGGTTTAGATGGAAAATTTTGAAAGAAGTGACAGCGTATTACGTTAAATAGTCACACAGTGTCATCACCATTGTAGTGTTGCAATTTAATTATAAATTCATCATATTTGTATTTATATACACCAAAACAATGCCCCAGTACCGTATTCTTAAAATATTTACATATTTAACTATTTTCAAATCTTCAAAACTTAGGAATATCTGTAGTTTGATTTATACATTTCTAATATAATTCATATAACATATATTATAACTAATATTTCAGAAAGAAACCTACCCTAACCTAATCCTACAAATTAATTTCACTATGGTGAAAGAACAAGTCGAAGATGCCCTCATTCGTGCCTAATATATATTTAGTAATAAAATTAAATACATGTAAACATACGCAGCCGAACTTGACATTTTGGAACAACTACTTGATCACAATGGTAATAGGTTACCTACTAGTAATTTCAGCGCACACTTTTCACACCATGCGATGGCTCAGAGTAAACTGAGTGGAGACAGCTACCCCGGGAATTCGGATGCGACTGATGCATTATTGATTAATGTGTGGGCGGGATCGGGGCGAAAATGTTAGCTATACTACTTTATAAGTGAGAGCTATGTAGCTGAACGCGTCTGTGCAGTACTGTCAGAGCAGGACAGAACATAGCTGATATATATATATATATATATATATATATATATATATATATATATATATATATATATATATATATATATAGCATGATTTACTGTATTCGTAATATTTTATTGATTCGTTAGGCTACGTCAGTCAGTCTGGTTCTACTAGGGATATCATCACACATTTATATGTCATTGGTTCTCCACTCTAGTTTTCAAGTATTAAAGTGTACGTTATAAACGAACACACTGTCCACCTGATGGTAAGTGGATGCTGTGGTCCATAGACATCTACATCTAAACCGTAAGGAGTTCCAAAGTTTAACTCGAAGAACTAAAAAAGATTTTTATAAATAGTAGAGAAGTAACCGATATAGTTCAATGGATAAGTAAGCCGAAGTGGCAATGGGCCATATACTTAAAAGACAATTCCGACAATCGACAGGAAATAAAGGTTCTCGAGTGGCAACCTCGTAGCAGTAAGCGAAGTGTATAGCGGTAATATATGAAGGAATTCGATGGATGCAAGTGAGGAGCGTGTTTAGTGGCATTGCTTGGGAGAGGTCTATGCTCAGCAGTGGACTTGTGAAGAGTTGTAATGATGATAAGGTTGGGAGGAGTACAAAGGACATAAAAGTTAAAGGTTTTGTCTGGACCGAAGAGAAATATTATAGAGGAGCTGATTACTTGAAAACGTTCTTTAAATACATTTTGTAACTCAGTGTATCTAAAACATACGTACCTTTTAAAATCAGGTATTTTAGACAGTAGACACCGTATGCGATATCTTGGTAGAGTGTTAGTTTTCACAAAAATTTATTTATGATCTATTCAGATAAAAATCTAAGCCAAACACCACACTTAATAAACAAGGAAATCTCGCGTCCCACTGTCCCGCGCAGCGGCTCTTACGACAGTGCAGTGCGAGAACCCCGGGAGAGACGACCGCCAACACATAGCAATATTGATTACCGCCTGGGAGGGTCCAATGCGCAGTATTTATTTACTTACTAGCTGTTAACTGCGACTTCGCCCGAGTGAAATTTATTACGTTTGGATTAAATGAGTCTTTATATTTTGCGCCGTACCCTAATTGTTCTTCTAAAAAAAAATTGCCTTAGTTACTCCTAATAACATCAGTTATCTGCTAATGAAATACCCGTTAAAATCGGTCCAGCCATTTCGAAGATTAGCCTGAACAAACAGACAGAAAAACAGATCGACAAACAGATAGACAGACAGAATATTTTTAAAATTATTTTTCTATTAAAGGTACCTTATAGACTTTCTTAAGCATTTAGTAAAAATATGTTATTTTGACATTACAAACAAACACTTAAATATTTATCGGTATTAGCGATGACGTAAAAGTATCTTCTATCATACTCGTATACATCGAATTTCAATAATAAAAAAACGGCTGTTGCCAAGCCGTTTGCCAAGCGTGGCAACTTTAAAAAAAAATTGAAGTGACATACGATATATTCCTTGTGATGACAAGTAGCTATTACTAAGGAAGGAATCCTACCAATAATAGAGCTGCTCCTTTCTAAAAGCCGTTAACGCACCCGCAATTCCCCAGTTGTAGATGTTCATGGGCGACGGTGATTTCTCCCATACAAACACATAGTATAGCTATTAACTATGAGACAATCTATGCGAGATGAATGTGCTCATCAGTGAACTTTTGATGAGTTATAATTAATGAATAGAGACAATAGATGAAGAATTCGTCTTATGTATGAATTTTTGGATAAGTTGAATATTATTTAACCAACTTATCCAAAACTTAATCCTTGAGTAATTGCACCTAGGGAGACGAAGGGCGTGACCATGAGGTATCGATTTGTAGGCTGTCTGTGTGCATCTAGTGCTAACTGCGTCGTTGTGTATTTTCACGGAAAGTTGTGGAAATGTATTGCGACGTTGATTTTGTGGAGCATAAAAAATGGAGAGCCGTACTTTGAACGAATTATAAGTACTTTATGAAATAAATGTTTGCATTTTAGACGGTAAATTAATCATTTTGTTTTTTGCTTTTAATCCTGCGAGTGTTGACGTATCTCTTTTATCTTATAGCCAATTTTCAGTTACGTGTATGCCAATTAAGAATATTAAAGGATATGAAGATAGGAAATGAAGAAGATAGAAAATTTTTGCATTATATAAAAATAATTACATTCTACATCGGTGTGGTATAAAATTAATCGTTCTCCAAGTAAAATAACACGAAAGTTAGGATTGTGTACAGGTTCAGTTTTGTTAAGTTTATTATTGGGAGAGAATGTTTAAATTTTAAGGCATATCATATTATATATTGGTTAGTTACTGCGAGCTGGACCTGAACCGGTGTTAATAATTACACGTCTTCATGAGATCTGGCATTATAATTACTGCAGATCATATGTTAACACTGGACTCTAAGCACAAAGACAACATTCTAAGAGAAATAAGTCTACTGTTTTATATTATTAAATGTTTTTATTATTAAACTAAAAAAACAATATAAACATTATATATTTAAATGAAATTTTTATATAATAAAGTGGCAAACAAGCACAAAGTCCACCTGATGGTGATTGCTTACAGTGGTCCATAGACATTTACATGTCCATAGACATCTTCGATAAATAATCGAAATGCAGATGCGGTGTCATACCTGTGGACTACTGTGGGGGCTCTGGTTCTCAACACTCATCATACAAAAACAAAGCAGCATTAACCTGCTATTTTGCGCTGGTATTCTGTGAGAGCGTGGTCCATTCCCGATCGAGCCGAACTATTCGTGCTGCAAACTTATGTACCATGGCTCTGCTACGTATAAAATACCGAATTGCAAAAATATAATAAAATAAAATATAGATTGGATGAAGGAGCGATCGATTGAAAATTTATTTATTTATTTAAACTTTATTGAGGCGTACATATTAAGTACAGGAAAAAAGGTGGACTTAATGCTAAAAGTATCCTCTGACGGTCAACCTTAGGGCAGTGATAGAACTAGGAATGCGGTTACAAAGATATATTTATACACACATACATATACATACATACACACATACATACATACATCAATTCACACAAATATATAAATTTATGTATTATAAGAAAATATAATATAATACAAGATACATAAAGATACGTAATATACTGATGAAACTAATATGCAGAGATTACAACTATAATGATGACGGAACTTAGCAGTTGTAAAGCAATTTTAGAAAATGATCTCGAGTATTCTTCTTAAATGTTTGTTTGCAGGTAGGTTGTCTTAATTTTTCAGGCAGGTCATTCCATAGGCGCGCGGCTTACACAGCAAACGGTGAAGATATGAAACTCGAACGGTGACGGGGTATAAAGAGGGCAAGAGTCTCCAATGTACGAAGCTGTCTGTCATCAGTGTCCCGCAGATACTGAAACTTATGTTTCAGATTATTTGGATAGTGGTTATCGAATAAATTAGAAAAACCTGTGTTAAGTATCCTAATGAGTCTTTGCTGATGAAATGGAAGACATTTAAGCTTAGTGCGGAATGAGGATACATGATCAAACTTGCGAAGACGAAAAGTAAAACGGATACAGTTATTGATGATACGATCATCAGGAAAACATAAATCAGCATAGCCAATAATAGACAAAATAAGAGATTGCACTAGAGTTATCTGTACCTTGATCGGAAGAAAGTTCCTGAGACGGTTCAAAGCATTGAGCTTACCAAAATCAGAACCACTGATATTTTGAATTTGGGTGGACCAACTTAAGGTTGTGCCAAAGTAGACAACGGGATTGTTAACACTGTCAGAATACGGTATAATAGAATTATCAAACGCGACAGGTGGAACGCAATGGACGTCAAACTTACACAACTGTTGAGCACTACCAATTATTATAGCTTGGCATTTATTAGGGTTCACACTAATACCAAACTTACGAGACCAACTGTGGAGATCCATCTGATTTTGGTGGCATTATTGTAACCCGACCCACAATAAACTGTACTCGATTCTATAAGAAGTAGTGAAAACAAATTTAACCATTTGGTAGCTCATATAATTTCTATACCCAATTCAATATTGCAATATGTGAAAGTTTGTGCAGATG